AGCGGACATGAGAATGATAAAGCAAGTCCTGGTGATCAGCATCCGTTTCAAGGAACTTAATAAATTGACGATGCTGAAGTTCCCTCGCTCGTATACAGTTAACGAGTTTTATGACTGGCTCCACAACATGATCAAGTTGCAATACAGATTTACACAGGGCTTCCTGATGGATTATGCAGTGCAGGAAAATGGCATCCAGCTCAGGATTTTCCTCTTTCACCTTATCCTGGATTCTTTTCAGCAGCCCGACTTTTTTTCCTGTTAAGTTTGGCGATCCATCTGTGGTGACATTGGCAAGTTTACTCCAAGGTAGCTTCAGCCTCTCGATGACATACAGTTCTTAAGACCCAAACTGCGTTTTACGTCGCTGATTTTCTCCGCAACACCGCTCACAACATCAATAGAGGACTTCGTCGGGTAGTTTTTAATCATACAAAACCAGATTAAATAAAATAACTACTTCTCCAGCCTTATACCTTTCTCCAGAGTGCCATGGTGCATTGTTTATTAATGTGTTTCAGTGGCATTACCGCCCGCTGGAGCGCGGCTCGTCCACCGGAGATTATTCTCCCGTTAACTCACAGCAGCGGCCGCTGGAAAGTATTCACTGTCCGACTGTCACACAAGCAGCTGAGAAATATTCCCCATCCCCATCAGTGAATGTGTGTCAGTCTGAAATGATGCTGTTTGGCATCACAACGCTGTTTCTCTGGCATTCTACAGGTGATGTTAGCATAGCAACCCAAGCTAATCAGACTATATTGACTACTTGTTATCATATTGTGGCATAAATCGGCACATTTTACCGGCGTAGTTTTCGTTATGATTTTACTTGTGATGGCCACATGTAGCCCATGTATTGATTCCATCCGATAGCTGCAATAATACAAAACAGGAAAACATCTGCCTCTTCACAATTGTCAATAACGGTGAACGGATGGTCATTAAAGTAAGGAAAATAAACAGAATCACACTAAGCTGGTTAGTGTTGCCTGACTTTATATAAGTGTTTTTTATAAGTGTGTGGTCGCGTTTTAGTCGCTTTGCTCAGCGCTACTTGTTACAACTTGTATTCGCTGTTCTCGCCATGATTGCTCAGGTTAATCTCAATTTCCTCCATTGTAAGGGTGACGTGTACGGTTTTTAGATCCTGCCGGGTTGCCGAGTGGTCAATTGCGCCATCTAGTGGAATAAACTGAAATTACGGGGTTGCAGGAAAAAGGCAAAATTAATGCGGTCATTACTATAATTTGGACAATTTTGTACCAATATTCGGCGGGCCAGATTAAAAAGTCCAACGGGCCGTATGTGGCCCGCGGGCCTTAGTTTGCCCATGCGTGCCATAGATCATGTGTCAGTATACACCACAGAGTTGTTGGCATTGGTGTTGTCATTGAAATGGATAGAGGAGAAAGAAATACATAATAGTATAATTGCATCTGACAGCTTTTCAGCATTATCAAGTATACGATCAGGCAGATCTTCATCTAGAATGGACATAATAAAAGAAATATTTCTAATTTATATCAAATGCAAAACAAAGGCATAGCAACTCGTTTCATCTGGGTTCCTGCTCATGTTGGTGTGGAGGGAAATGAACAGGTGGATATTCTGGCCAAACAAACACTCAGAAGTATGAACATAGACATAGAAGTTCCACTCAGCAAAGCGGAGGTTCAAACATTCATTCAGAAATATGCACAAACAACATGGCAAGATCATTGGGACCTTAGTGATACAGGAAGACATCTTTATAACATTCAAAGGTATGTGGGGGATGGAAGGAAGGTGGGGTTTAAAAGAAGGGAGGAAAATGTCATTTCTCGGATGAGAATAGGTCATACAGGTCTCAATCATACATTAAGTATAATACAGGTCTCAATCATACATTAAGTATAATACAGGTCTCAATCATACATTACGTATAATACAGGTCTCAATCATACTTTAAGTATAATACAGGTCTCAATCATACATTAAGTATAATACAGGTCTCAATCATACATTAAGTATAATACAGGTCTCAATCATACATTAAGTATAATACAGGTCTCAATCATACATTAAGTATAATACAGGTCTCAATCATACTTTAAGTATAAAACAGGTCTCAATCATACATTAAGTATAATACAGGTCTCAATCATACTTTAAGTATAATACAGGTCTCAATCATACATTAAGTATAATACAGGTCTCAATCATACATTAAGTATAATACAGGTCTCAATCATACATTAAGTATAATACAGGTCTCAATCATACATTAAATATAATACAGGTCTCAATCATACATTAAGTATAATACAGGTCTCAATCATACATTAAGTATAATACAGGTCTCAATCATACATTAAGTATAATACAGGTCTCAATCATATAAGTATAATACACGTCTCAATCATACATTAAGTATAATACAGGTCTCAATCATACATTAAGTATAATACAGGTCTCAATCATATAAGTATAATACAGGTCTCAATCATACATTAAGTATAATACAGGTCTCAATCATACATTAAGTATAATACAGGTCTCAATCATACATTAAGTATAATACAGGTCTCAATCATACTTTAAGTATAATACAGGTCTCAATCATACTTTAAGTATAATACAGGTCTCAATCATACTTTAAGTATAATACAGGTCTCAATCATATAAGTATAATACAGGTCTCAATCATACATTAAGTATAATACAGGTCTCAATCATACATTAAGTATAATACAGGTCTCAATCATACATTAAGTATAATACAGGTCTCAATCATACATTAAGTATAATACAGGTCTCAATCATACTTTAAGTATAATACAGGTCTCAATCATACATTAAGTATAATACAGGTCTCAATCATACTTTAAGTATAATACAGGTCTCAATCATACATTAAGTATAATACAGGTCTCAATCATACATTAAGTATAAATTATACTTAATGTATGATTGAGACCTGTATTATACTTAATGTATGATTGAGATCTGTATTATACTGTATAATACAGATCTCAATCATACATTAAGTATAATACAGGTCTCAATCATACTTTAAGTATAATACAGGTCTCAATCATACTTTAAGTATAATACAGGTCTCAATCATACATTAAGTATAATACAGGTCTCAATCATACATTAAGTATAATACAGGTCTCAATCATACATTAAGTATAATACAGGTCTCAATCATACATTAAGTATAATACAGGTCTCAATCATACATTAAGTATAATACAGGTCTCAATCATACATTAAGTATAATACAGGTCTCAATCATACATTAAGTATAATACAGGTCTCAATCATACTTTAAGTATAATAGGAAAGCATCCAACCGGAAAGTGTACACACTGCAGCCAGCCAGAAACTGTTGAGCATGTTTTACTGCTTTGCAGGAAATATAGTACTCAGAGAAATGTGCTTTTCCAGACACTCAAGAAAGCAACATTCCATGACTTGTCGCTATCAGGGCTGTTAGGGAAAAAAATCAGGCAATATATATTGTGAGATTATTACGTTTCTAAGAGAAATTGATACATTTAAAAATAATCTAGAGTTTTGGTTCTTTTTTTTGTTTGTTTTGTTTATTGTTTTCTGCATAGTCTCTTGTTCACACTCCAGTCCAGTTGGTGGCGGTAATGCACCTAAAAGTTGGTTTGTCAACCGCCAATAAACACTGAAGAAGAAGAAGAAGAAGAAGAAGAAGAAGACGAAGACGAAGAAGACGAAGACACCGTACTTCCGGTATCCGCCATTTTACGTGAGGTGCAAGCAGGCAGAGGGTTTAGCCGTGTTACTTACTTGTTAGATACAATACTTTGAAGATGGTGAAGTGGTGTAGTGCTGGGACTTGTAGAAATCATCATTCGATGATACGTAGTAATGGAAAATCCAAGTTTTCTTTCTTCAAGTTCCCCAGTCACGAAACACAGCCAGGACGGAGGGCCCAGTGGGCGAGAGCTTGCGCTCGCGTCGATGCCATCACTCACAAGCCGTGGAAACCCAAGGACACCGTGCAATATGTGTACATCTGCTCGGCACACTTCATTTCTGGTGAGTTGAAGTTGTATTTCAGAACAACTACTATGTTTATGATTAATCTGATGTCCGCCCCTAGCCCGGACTGGACCAAACTACTGTTTACCTTCCTCTACAGCAGAATCATAGCATGGTAGCATAGCATCATGGTTGGTCTAGTCAGCCCCAACATGGTAGTTCCTATCTACCAATGACAATGTACATACTCCCTGCTACTTGTCCATCTTTCACAGAGTAAACTGAGCCACACATCAGCTATGACAAGTCATTAATGTGTGAATGTGGAGCTAAAGCGATGTCCAGACATTAACCAGTTCAAGAGGAAATACAGAGACATTATTTTCTCGAGGTACAGGGATAGGGAAGGTGTTTGACTGTGTTTATGTGTGAGTATGTAGGTGTGCATATGTATGTGTACATATATATATATATATATATATATATATGTCAGTGTATGTGTATATGTATATCAATCAACAGGTAAAGCAGATAAATAATGATAATGACAAGAATAATGAATAATAATGATAATTATTGCAGATAATAGATTATAAATAAATCATTTAGGGACAAGGGGGTGAGATTAAATAAGTTATACTTCTTCTCACTCCTTTTCGAACACTAGACATGGCACTGTTTATGTTGCAAATGCTGTTGTTGTAAATGTAATTTGTTGTTTTGTTTTAATTTCTCTTGCATGACTATGCACTACAACATTTGTTCTGTTTTGTAAATTATTTATTTTACTTGTTCTAAATAAATGTATCAATCAATCAATTATAATACTTGAGTTAGCTGTCGGGATACTAGGATCAGGGAATGTGTACCACCTCATTGATGACATCAGGGAGGTGATATATCTGTATATATCACCTCCCTGATGTCACTTATCTTACTTTAGACTAGAGGAGGCACACTGATATGCATGACTCCAAGTTCTCTTATCTGTTTTTCAGGGCAGCCTTCCAAGGAGCCCGGCCATCCAGATTACATCCCGACCAAATTTGCTACGCCTGGGAAACTACCAACAGCTGACAAGTGCCAGAAACTGAGAAGGTTTGCGAAAATTCATGTATATACTGATGATATGCCTGGCCTAAATCGAACACTGTAATACTGTTGTGATAGATGTGAAGTACAATTTTACAATAACATACCAGCTGTGGGTAGGTGTTAGTTATCACCCCTGGTAGGGCTGTGCAATTAATTGTATTTTAATATAAATGATATATATAAACTAGGGCTGTCAAACGATTACAATTTTTAATCAGATTAATCACAGTTTAAAAATGAATTAATCAGATTAATCACCATTCGAACTATGTCCAAAATATGCCATTTCTTTATGTATATTGTTGTGGGAATGGAAAGATAAATGAAAGAAGGCGGATATATCCATTTCACATATAGTATGTATGTTTATTATAAAAAAATGTCTGTGTGTCAAAATGAAAGACAGCCCACACACCTATCAATCATCAAACCGTGGGGTCTTATTTCATTACGTGTTGATTTCTATCAACGGGGGAGTACTTCAGGAAAGTCGACGGGGGGGGGCTAGTGGAGTACTTCGTGACCACAGAGTGTGAACGTTGTGATCAGCTGTTTTAGTGCAGTTCTCCAGTGAAGGGGGGGAGTCTCCCTCCGCAGCCGGTTGGCGTAGTTTTGGCACAGTTCCGTTGTACAGACCGACGTTAACAGCAGCCCTGTCTGTGCACACGGAGACCGACTCTGTCGTCCGGTGATCTAACCGCCTTCTGGAAAAGCTTCACAAGTACGTCGGTACGCAAATGCGCTTTGTGACACAAGTGACGGTAAGCATTTCAGATTGTTGCCACGCATGCGTACCTGCGTACCAGTTATGTACACCTACTATGCCGTGTTATGCATGCCCTCCAAAAGGAAATTATATAGTTTCCAAACCGTACTTTGCCGTACAGATCAATACATGTCTGGGAGGTTTTGCTTCACGCTGTGCGCGCTCCCGCGAGGTGCATGCACGCACGGCATAACACCTCCCCCCCCCCCCCCCCCCCCCCTGTTGACAGTTCACGAGCGTGCTCTCTCTCTCTGTTCAGACCCGACGGGTAATAAGGGATTATGACGGATATTTTACGATCCTGTCTGTAAAAATGACGGACAGCGACAAAGTCTAACGCCACGTCAGTGGGACGGAGAGATATGCTTTGGCCATGGGTGACAGCAGTGGGTCAAACTGTGCATTGTCTCCCCACCACTTCAAAAACAATACAGTTGTTGCCAAGAAGGTGAGGCTTATTGACAGAGATATAAATATACTGTTGGTACTTGTCAATGTCTCTAGGTGTGTACATGTAGCACTGTAAATACGATGTCCTTTTGTGTTCTGTTGTTTTATGTTCATGTTGTAACCTACTTGCTGCCATGTTGGACAGGTCTCTCTTGAAAAAGAGATCGATGATCTCAATGGGACCACCTGGTTAAATAAAGGTTTTTAAAACAAAATAAAAAAGTGTTTAAAAAAAAAGTCACGGTAGATTTTGTCAGTCTCATGACGGTATTGGGATGTTTATTTACCGCGATATTCGGTATATCGTTACATCCCTAGCCCTAACCCCTGGTATATGTAATGTTTGTGTGTATTAGGTTCTCCAATGCTATGTCTCGTCATGGCAAGAAGATGCTTGGCAAAGAAAATGGGCCCTCAACAAAGAAGTGCAGAGTGGCCTTCGAACCTCCACAGCATCAACCTACTCCTGATTCGCCTCAACCGTCGACCAGTTCAGTGTCTCCACCTTCCGTGTCTCAACAGATGCTCTTTGATGAGATCTCTGCACTCAGGGCGGAAAGAGATGCTGCTCTTGCTGAGAGGGACCATGCTAGGGCCAGCCTCAACTCTATCCGGCTGTCTTCTAACACTGTTGCTGAAAACAATGAGAAGTGTGAGTATTACACCGGACTAACTTGGCCCATTTTTCTATCCACTTTTCAATTCTTGCTAGTTTCGGTGACATGCAAAGGTACCCCATCCATCCCCTACATTGATCAGTTTTTTTATATGATAGTTAAGTTGAAACATGGCATGAAGTTTGAGTATTTGGCAGACCAGGTAGGCATCCCTCAGAGCACGCTCATAGATCATTTTTGGAAGTGGATGGATGTAGCCTTTGTGAAACTGAAGCATGTTGTTAGTTGGCCAGAGAGGGAGCGCATATTTTCTAATATGCCACCTGCATTCAAGGCTCTGTACTAGTGTTGTCACGATACCAACATTTTGGTTTCGATACCGATACCAAGTCAAGAATTGCGATTCCGATTCTTTTTCGATACTTTTCTTAAATGTAATTATTGTGCTTTATTTCACACCAGAACCATAACACAAACTTTTAAACAATGAGAACAATAAACAAAATAAATGACAATAATTCGTATTAAATCAAATTAAGCATCATCTCAAACAACTTTTTTATTTTATAAAATATAATTTTTTAAATATTGTATTAACATGTAATAGTACAGTAATATAAATAATTGACACAATGTATATTGCAGATGTTAGCCACATTGGTAAGTTAACTAAAAAGATAGCCATATTAGACAATTATCATTGCCATTAATTGCCACGTCAAACTACGAAAACGTTCGTTTGTCACAAAATAAATTACACTTGTTTGACTTAGATTTGAGGGCATGGGCTTGAGCATGATGTAATTATGTTCTCTATCACATTCGCTAACCTGTCTTTCTTTAAATTCATTAAACTGGATGCCGGTCGGCGGGTGCTTAGTCAAATTTGATGTGTTGGCTCCCTTGGTTTGCAGGGATCTAAAACATTTCTGACAGACAGGCCTCGTGGTGTCCGTAGGCTTGCCCTCACTGTCAGAGATATAGCTCAAATACTTCCAAATTTCGCTTCTGGCGTCTTTTTTGTCAACAAGCCGAGGCGCAGCGGCAGTTGCACTCCCACTTGCAGCCATGCTTCTCGTTTTCTCACATGCTCTGGCAGCTAGAGCGTGGCCGCGTGCACGAGAGAGGGGAGAGACTTAACGTACTTGAGAGGGGCGGGACTGCAGGCACGGCTAACCCTAACCCTTTATTAATCATTCATATTAATTAATTCATTAATAATCCTTCTCGGATATAAACATTTATTTCGGGCAACTCCAAACATGGCAGAATTGGACATACTACACATACTACATGTTAGTATACATTAATGGCAAGATTACCACCTTTGCATACAATTGTTCACAACAATAACTGAGCCTATTGAAAACCCCATGTGCCTGCCTATACATAAATCAACATACAAATACAATGAACTACAAGTCCACACTGAGAGGGAAACGTTCACTGTCTCCTTTGTCGCTTTCTCTTGGTGTTGCTGGACTTGCAATTGTCGCAGTACCACGTTTTGGACCTAGGCTCCTTGGTAATGCCAACGCAAGCCCAGTGGAACCATTGGTGTGTGCATTTGTCATCATCACACCCTAGCATGGGTACATTATCTGCGGAGCCACACGAACAATGACCCTGCTTGTTGCCATGTTCAGTTTGCTTAGTACCCAGTTCCAACTTTCTGAACAACAGCTCAGGGCGAATATGTCCCTCCCAAAATGCTGTTAAAACAGGCACAGAAGTTAGGGTGTACTCCTTGTCAGGGAAAACTGTGCATACATGCCCCCCAGTGGGCAGCCACACAAGGAAGTAGCTTGCACCAGTCACATACATTTGATGTTGAGTTTGCGTGTAGTACTGGTGTGACTCCTTGAGCTCGAGATTCTGGTCTAGACAACTGTCTTTCTCCTTGCTCATTTCTTCTACACTCATCTCAAGAAATTTAAATGGGCACTTTATCTCCAACACGCCCATCCCATGACACCAGCATGGCATCTGGAGAGGCAGCGAGAAAAGGCTGCTCCCTTTTGATGAGGAGTCCACAGTTGTTGACTTTGAGATCACTGTGCACTGAAGAGATGGCCCCCTCAGCATACTGCTGCCTGGCAACTTGTTCATGTTCGTTCCCCCACATAATTGCAGTCGTCTTCAAGTTTGATGGCCTGTCACAACATATGGATTTGATGAGGTACTGTGACGGCTTTGTAGTGCTGGTGCGAAGAACAGAGTGGGAAACGGATGAGGTGATTCGACCAGCCCTCTGCTCGTACCACACCAAAGACTTGGACTGCAGCTTGGTGACATTACCAATATGCTCCACATCTTTGTGGTCAAGTTTCATAGTTTGTGTGGTGGCACTGTACACCTCATCAAGGGAATTGAAACCCTCCACACCTCTGTAAAGGGACCGCAGCCCTGGAGGGACTTTCTGTCAGGGTACAACAGCTTTCTTTGGGGCGAAGTTTGAAGAAGTCGAGCTGAAGAGGCTGAGCCCAACTGGCATGACTGGGTTGGAGGCAGCAAGAAGGGACACAAGGAAGTCTTCAAATCCATCAGAGGAGACGGGTTGGGGGTCTGCTCGACGAGCTTGTGCGTTGTTGGCAACCACCTTCTCTTTGGGCTTATCACTAGGGCTGTAGCGATACACTAATCTCACGATACGATACGATACACGATATTCAGCCAACGATACAATATATATCACGATATTCAGCCAACGATACGATTCTATATGATTCGATACACTTATATCATTTTCTGAAAGATTTTAAAGGGACAGTGTGATTTTGGTGACATCTTGTGAGTGACTTGGATTGAATTAATTCAACTGAAAACTGAAAGCATCAATTATACAATATATGGCTCTGACAGAGAGTCTACAGCTTGCAAATGCTGGACAAAATGAATCAAAAGATGTGGTGAGAAAATCAGTTTCATTTATTGAAACAGTGCAAACTGTAGCTTAGAAGCCTTTGAAACGTAAGTACATAAAGTGCAGTATCACAATGGAGAATTAAAAGGTGCAGCAGGTGGCGGAACACGGGGGATTTGAATGGGACTTGTTAGAAATTAAAATCAATGTTTTGATGGCATAAAGTACCTTAAACATACCGTCAGTTTAAATGCTGTTTTATACTGAAAAACCAGAAGTTCTTGTGCACAACCAGTTGTTAAGTTTTTATTCTGAAAATTCTTCATCTCCGGTTAGCATTTAGCATGTGGCTAATATACCATTTACTAGAGAGGTGAATTTAGTAGCGATATGACACGGAGTGTTGCACACCGAAACCTACTGATTTCAACACTACAACTATAGACGTGGAGATATTATTATTACTGAATATTAAATGAAGGTACAGTTTATTTGAATACGTTTGTTTACAGACGTGGGTAGCATGAGACAACATTCGGAACTACCGGAAATGATACCAGCCGTGAAGTATTTCTAGAGTATTGATTACAGCGTTTAAAATGTATTAAATGAAAAGTCATGAAAGAGATAAGGAGAAGAAAAGGTGTGTTTAGTTATATATTTAATGTACAATGTCTGAATCCTCTGTAATGCGCAAAAACGAACATTGGAGATGTGGAGGGCCGGCCCCCAGCAGAGGATATTTAACAGCTGGAAAGGTGGAGCTCGCTCTCTTCCCTTCGCTCACGAGAGCCAGAACACTGCTGTTTTTCTGACTGAACCATCTTCTGCTTGTAACATTACCGCGCTTTTTATTAATTAAAGTACACATTTGAACCTTCTCAGAGACTCAATTAGTCTCCTTTTTAAAGCTTCTCTCCTGGACGCGAGAATAACGAACACAGTTATCAGACTTAATGTATCGATACCCCCGGCTGAAATATCGATACTTTCTCGGAAAACTAAATATCGATATATATCGATTAAATTGCACAGCCCTACTTATCACCATAGAAGTTGATGTCGGCCACTCGAGCTGGTTGCACACCTTTTCATGCTCGCCTCGTTCCATGTGCAGAGTACATCAGTGCAGGCAGGATCTCTTGCTCCGCCGACTCTGACGATCATCTCCACCTTGTAGAGCAGATCTCCAATATGGGAGCATGACTCACCAAGCCTATAAACACACACATAAATCAACGTAAAAGTTCAACAAACTACAAGTCAATATTCTGGCATTGTTTTCTGTGAGAACGACATCCACCAAAGGTCAAATGTTTTCATATTTCCAATGATGCCTATGTAATTTAATTGTTTTCAAAGAACAATATACAACAAGAATATGTTCATAGTAAAAATGTAGTTTCTACATACTGGAATCTACATACCCAGCTTTGCAGTCACAGTGAGCAGCAACCACATCGCCACGCTGGGTAACGGCTGCCCATGGATGATGAGGCGGTTCATTCACACGGAATGACGGTGTCACGTCAGCTCTCAGGACACTAAGGGTTGAAGAATCACCAACAGTGACACCAGCAAAGCCCCCTCCCCACCCTCAAACCTCCTCCTCCATGCTTCACGGTGGGAACCACTCATGCAGAAACCACCCGCTCACCTTCTCTGCGTCTCACAAAGTCACGGAGGTTGGAACCAGAAATCTCTCATTTGGACCCATCAGACCAAAGTCCAGATTCAGGGGTGCACATAACTTACTCAGATGAGTACCAGGAGACAGCGTTTGGTACTCACCCCACACGAAGCGTGGTCCTCCTCGGTGTCTCCTTCATTGTCCTCTATTTACACTTCTTGCATGCTAGATGATGAAGATAAACCTCCCCGTCTCTTTTTAAGCCTCTGATTTGCTTTCTCCAAAACTTGTTGCCAAAACTGTGAAGTCCTTGCATTTCCTGAGGCCAAGTTGAAGGATCAAATACTAAGAAATGATCACATGACTTGAAGTCATATCTGATTTCAGATGTGGGAAGTTACGAAGTACACTTCTTCAAGTACTCTACTTATATGATATTTGTACTTTACTTGACTTTGATCTAATTTGTAAAATTAGCTGCACCTTTACCAGCTTTGAGAACACTTTAATGATCAATCATTACAAAACATATCATATATATTATTCTGAAATGGACCAATCTGCACAATGACTACTTTTACTATATTTTGATGAGAATACTTTTCTAATTTTACTTGAGGAACATTTTGAATGCAGGACTTTTACTGGAACAGAGTATTCCTACACTCTGGTACTTCTACTTTTACTCAAGTACAAGATCTGAGTACTTCTACTTTTACTCAAGTACAAGATCTGAGTACTTCTACTTTTACTCAAGTACAAGATCTGAGTACTTCTACTTTTACTCAAGTACAAGATCTGAGTACTTCTACTTTTACTCAAGTACAAGATCTGAGTACTTCTACTTTTACTCAAGGGCAAGGCAAGGCAAGGCAAGTTTATTTATATAGCACTTTTCAACACAAGGCAATTCAAAGTGCTTTACAAAAAATGAAAGACATTAAGAAAATGGCATTTAAAATCAGTCATTAAAAAGAAAAGCTAATAAAATAAACATTAAAAGAAAAAATACATGGATACAAGTTACAGTGCAGTCTAAGATATGTGTACAAGTACAAGATCTGAGTACTTCTTCCACCTCTGTCTGATTTCAAACTCTTCCACCCTGAGGAAGTTTGCAGCTGTGTGTTTCACTCCACTTTGTTGTAAATCAAACTGCAGCAGCTTGACCACAGAGCGTGAACGTTGTGATCAGCTGATGTTGCTCAGTTCTCCAGTGTGTGCGCGGGGCACAGAGGGTGCTCAGGGGAGTCTCCCACTGCAGCTAGTTGGCGGAGTTTTGGCACAATTCTGTTGTTCATACCGACGTTAACCCTGTCTGTGCACACGGAGACCAACTCTGTCGTCCGGTGATCTAAGCCTCTGCCTCCTGTAAGCTTCACAGGTCCGTCGGTTATGTCCCGCGCGGCTCGGCCAGCTCCAGTTCAGTCAGTCACAGAAAGTCCGAAGATTCTTTGCAGGGAGCGAAATGGCAACGTAGCTGCTTAATGTCTTTGGGTTTTTGACATGTCTCGTAGTTTACTCCATTGACTGTTGACAAGAAACACGTGTAGACGAAATATGTGTTTTGTTTAGTTGTTTTGAGGTACGCAAAGGCACGTAGTGACACAAGCGACGTTACGCAATTCAGATTTTTGCCGCGCATGCGTACCTGCGTACCAGTTATGTGCACCCCTGTACATATTTGCACTGGTCTAATGTCCAGTCCTTGTGTTTCTGGGCCCAAACTATTCTCTTCTTGTTGTCCATCCTCAGTAGTGGATCTTTGCAGCGATTGGACCATGAAGGCCTGATTCACGCGGTCTCCTCTGAACAGTGCATGTTGAGATTGTCTGCTCCTTGAGCTCTGTGATCATTTATCTGAGGTGCTTTAACTTGCGGTTTCTGAGGCTGGTAACTCTGATGTATTGATCCTCTGAGCAGAGGTAACTCCTGCTCTTCCCTTCCCGGGGGGTCCTCATGAGAGTCAGTCTCATCATAGCGTTCCATGGTTTTTGCGACTGCACTTGAGGATACATTCAAAGTTCTTGACATTTTCCGGATCAACTGGCCTTCATTTCTTAAAGTGATGATGGGAGGTCGTTTCTCTTCACTGGGTTGAGTGGTTCTTGCCATAATATGGATTACAACAGTAGTCAACTAGGGCTTTCCACTGTGCACTAACCCTACCTCTGCACAACACAACTGATGGTCTCAAACACATTAAGAAGGCAAGTCATTCCACACATTGACTCTTGACGAGGCTCACGTGTTAATTGAAAACCATTCCAGGTGAAGACCTCATGAAGCTGACGGAGAGAAGCCCAGAGTGAGCAAAGCTGTCATCAAGGCAACAGGGGCTACTTTGAAGAATCTAAAATAAAAGTCATATTCTGGATTTTTTTTAAACTTTTTTGTTAAAGGTGGGGTAGGTCATTTGGAGAAACCCGCTCGAGTGCGCAGGAATTTGAAAATAAACAACCGGAACAAATCTGCAACTTCCTTACAGAGCCCCTCCTCCAACACAGATGAACGTGCACATGACCAATGAGGGCACAAGATAAGTTTATGCACAGATGGAAGGCTGACAGGCAGGTAGGCCAACCTAAAATTATTGGTCGTGCTTTTTACAGTACTACGGCTTCCACAGATGACATTTTTTTATGGATTTTTTGTCAAAGCACTGAAGATATTCATTGATATCGGGATGTTAAGAGCATTCCATGGAATATAACAAGTGTATCTCGAGCCGGTTTCTCAAAGGTACCTACCCCACCTTTAACTAGATAATTCCATATGTGTTCTTTCATAGTTTTGATGTCTTCAGTATTAATCTACAAAGTAGAAACAAATTAAAATAAACAAAACACATTGAATGAGAAGGTGTCCAAACTTTTGACTGGTACTGTATATAAAAAACA